AAAATGGTACCAGCTTTAACTATAGATTTGTTTTTGTCCTATTCAGGCTTTCTAAAAGCTATACCCTTAAGAAGTATTGAGATCCAATGTTTTCCTGAGCGAATTCTTTCAAATGTTCAAGAAATAGATAATTCTGATGCCTTTATAACTTTACCAGAACATAGAAAAAGATGAGTTTTTTAAATAAAAGTGGCATGTAAATTTTGACAAAAATAGCACACAAAAAGGAAAATTATAGGCTAGTCTCACATGTGAATGTTTATGGAAAGATCCTAAATAACAAGGCAAATAAAAGCCTAGAATAAACTAAAAAGTAGACAAAACTAAGTGGAGTTTATTCTAGGACTTTAAAAAAGGCTTAATGTTAGATATTTATTAACAATTTACTTTATTGGTCAAAGGTGGAAAGGTAATCATGTTGATAGGTATAGAAGAGGTATTTGATAAGAAGTTAATATCTGTTTCTGACTTTTAAAATCATAGCAAAATAGGAAGGTGTGAACATTCCTTTAATATTTAAGAATATATCTGTCAAATCAAAATGTAGGTTATATGTATGGCAAAACACTGGAAGCACTCATGTTAAAATCACAAGTAAGACTTAGACGCCATCCTTACTACTACTTGGCTTTATTATACAAAAGTTAATAGGTTTCCTATATAACCAATAATCAGGAAATAAAATGGACAGACCAAGTCCTGTTACCATTAAAATGTTTGCAAATATCTCTATAGAGGGATGTAAAAGAAGACAAATAAATAGAGAAGCATACCTTATTCATGAAAAGGAAGACTCCTTAGACTTATCAATTCTTCTTAAATCAATGTGTATATTCATTAGGATCCCCATGTAAAACTAGGCCAACATTTTGGGGAAAATCTGTCAAAAATAAATCTGAAGTTCATCTAGAAAAATAAACATAAAAGAATATTCAGAGAGAGAAGAGTCACAGAAGTAGAATAGCTTTATGACATCCAATTGTGACATGAGGCAGCTGAAAATAGAGAGATTGTCTTTAGGGCTGGATAATCCAGGTTCAAATCTTGACTCCTTCACTTAATATCTGTGTGGACTTGGGTAAATTAATGAACTTCTCTATGTCCTATGTTCCACTTGTAAAAAACATAACAGTATCAGCACATAATAAGCATTCAATAAATCAGCAAAATAAAATTGCTGTTGTCATTATAAAGTGACCTTAATTATTACTTTAGGGAACTTATACTAAATGGGTGGTATAATCAATGGAAAGGAATCAAGAATTAAGAGATAAATGTAAGAACTAATAAATTTCAGTATATCAAGAAGAGTGGCATTTAAAATCAGTGAGAAAGGGGGGAGCCTCAGTGGCTCAGTCAGTTAAGCATCTGACTCTTGATTTTGGCTCAGGTCAAAATCTCACGGTTCATGAGTTGAAGCCCCGCATCAGGCTCTGGGCTGACAGTGGGGAGGCTGCTTGGGATTCTCTCTCTCTATCCCTCTCTCCCTCTCTCTCTACTCCTCCCCTATACATGTTCTCTCTCTCTTTATAAATAAACTTTAAAAAAATGAAGTAAAATGGGTGAAAAGAGGGAATTAATAAATAATATTAAAACAAGTGTTTAGTCATTAATAAACTCCTACATTACTTTTTAAAAACAAAATAATCCAGAAAAAAATTCAGATAGAGCAAAGATTTAAATATAATAAATAAAGCCACAGAAGTGCCAAAAGAAAACATGAGAAATTTTTAAATATAATTTTGGGGGTGTGGAAGGTCTTTATGAGTAAGCATAAAGCCAGAACCCATAAAAAAATGTAAATAAGCTTGCTTCTGTGAAAATTAACTTTCTTTATGTCCAAAGGACAACCAACAATCAAAACAAAAATAAAAGCAAAATCAAAAATTCCCCTCCACTCATAAAAAAATACATTGACCAAAGTTCAGAAAAAAGATTGGCCAAGTTTCTTTGCCTGAAAAAATGAGCAGTATTTACTTTTGCTCTAGGGAAAAAGATGTAGAAAAGAGATATGGGCAGAGAAAATGGGGCTCACTCCTGGGACTGCTTCACTGTTTTTGCTCCTCACTTAGAGCTCAGCTGGACAGCCTTCTCCCCCACCCTTTCTGCCACTCTGTCCCTTTTCCTGTCCTCCCGGAAGCAGAAGCACATTTTGTTCATATACTCCAGTGGAATGGTTTAGATATCTTAAAATAGCATCTGACGTATAGTAGGTATTTTATAAGTACTAGCCATAGCAAAGATAATGATGATTTTTAAAATTAGTTCATCTCTTATGTTACTCTGTCTCTTGCAAATACCTATGTCATCAACATCTCACCTCCCATCCCAAATGACCTTGCAAAACATTTTTCTTAAATAAATACAGTTGCCACTCTGAGAGGAATTACAGTGCCAGTAATAACAGATACATGTGTAAATACATGTATATGTATATATGTAATATATGCACATTTGTATACATATATCTATGCATACACATATGCACATACGCATTCACATGAACACAAATATACCCAGAAATACAGCCTCACACAGCTATGTATTTCTCAAATTTTGCCCTGTATCTATTTACTTCTATGTTCAGAAATACATATAAACCCAGAAACACATATACCTATAAATCTCTTTATATATATGTATATATACCAATTTTAGTCTACGTCTATATAAACATCTATACTTATACATCTATACGTTTGCAAATGTATAGAAAAGTTCCAGTGTGATACAGTCAGATCTCTTCAGGGTTTGTGAAAGTGCTTTCAGGTTCTGTTTTTTTACTTCTGTATTGGTTGGATTCTCCAGATGTTTTATTATTTTGGCAAAAAAAAAGAAAGATTTAAAAGTGAAATTGTTTGGAAAAACCATTAAAGATAAAGTGAAGATAGAAAATATTCCCAGGTTTAAAATTTTCAAGAAAATGCTTGAAGTCATTTTACCAAATTCTAAATGAATTTTTAAAATGCTTTTATTTGCAAGGGAATCAAGGGCAAAAATAAACGATTGGGACCTCATCAAGATTAAAAGCTTCTGCACAGCAAAGGAAACAACCCACAAAACTAATAGGAAACCAACGGAATGGGAAAAGATAGTTGCAAATGACATATCAGATAAAGGGATAATATCCAAAATGAGCAAATCAGAGAACTCTAGATGCTGGCGAGGATGTGGAGAAACGGGCACCCTCCTACACTGTTGGTGGGAACGAAAACTGGTACAGCCCCTCTGAAAAACAGTGTGGAGGTTGCTCAAAAAATTAACACTAGAACTCCCCTATGACCCAGCAATAACACTGCTAGGAATGTACCCAATTGATATAGAAATGCAGATGCATAGGAGCACATGTACCCCAATGTTCATAGCAGCACTCTCAACAATAGCTAAAACATGGAAAGAGCCTAAGTGTCCATCAACGGACGAATGGATCAAGAAGATGTGGTTTATCTATACGATGGAACACTACACGGCAATGAGAAACAATGAAATCTGGCCATGTGTAGCAACATGGATGGACCTTGAGGGTGTTATGCTGAGCGAAATAAGTCAGGTAGAGAAGGACAAATATCATATGTTTGCACGTATAGGTGGATTAGGAGGAACTTAACGGAGGACCATGGGGGAGAAGAAGGGGGGAAATAGTGGGGGAAAGGGAGAGGGGCAAACCACGAGAGACTCTTGAATGCTGACAAAAACTGAGGACTGATGGATTGGGGGGGGGAGTGCGGGATGGGCATGGAGGAGGGCACTTGTGGGGATGAGCACTGGGTGTTATATGGAAACCAACTTGACAATAAACTATTTGTAAAAAAAAAAAATCTATAAAAAAATTAAATGCTTTTATTTAGTTTTGAGGGAAACAACATGAGGAGGGGAGCGAGGAGGGGCAGCGTGGGAGAAGGGGACAGAGGATCCCAAGAGGGGTCCATGCTGACAGCCCAGAGCCCGACATGGGGCTCAAACTCACGAACTGCGAGCCATGATCTGATGCTCAACACACTGAGCCACTCAGTCTTAAATCTTGGGCTCTCTACTTTAAAAACACCAGTAGCAACACCACCACCACTAAGCAAGCACTGAGAAGGGCTGGTGACCCTCTGTCATCAGCCCCTTCGTCCTGCACTGGGGTTGTATGCCACATGGAGAAACAAGTGGCCACTCTTCCATCCCACAGGAGTTCATTCTGGAATATCCAGTCTCCTGACCTGTGCCCCTGTTCTTTTGGACCATTTTTACTATTTCATAGCATCATTCTGGGGGAAAGAGAAATGGAAAGAGAAAGAAGATAGATCTCAGTTCTGTTTCTCTTTTCCTTCCTTCCCTCCCTCTGGGCATGTGCGTGAGTGTGTGTGTGTGTGTGTGTGTTTGTTCCTAATTGCTACGGGTAGGTTTTTTTCTTTTTAAGTTTATTTATTTATTTTTGAGAAAGAGAGAGAGAGAGAGTAGGGAAGGGGCAGAGAGAGAGAGAAAGGGAGAGAGAGGATCTCAAACAGGCTCTGCACAGTCAGCACGGAGCCCTCTGCAGGCCTCCAACTCGCAAACTATGAGATCATGACCTGAGCTGAGATCAAGAGTTGGACGGTTAACCGACCAAGTCACCCAGATGCCCTACTGTTAGGTGTTTCTATAATAGAACCTCATGGAGGCAATTGTTGCCCATTCCTGCCTTGGTGGTGGGGAGTAATATAACACTTCATATATAGCATTTAAAGGTTATAGACCATTTTATTTTTTAAAAGTACCAATAATTATGATTTGCCAGCCTCAGCAACAGCACTCATCAGCATGCTGGCAATATGACTCAGAATACAGTTTTTTATTTAAATGTGCTCAATTCTATGCTCTGCTTGCGAAAGGAAACTGAGGGGTCTAATTATATATGAAGAATAGATAGATGACAAAAGATAAGATTTGTCCTCCAAGAACCATAATAGAGAATTAGGAGTGGAGGACAAGGAAATGGCAAGAATACTAAAAACTTATTTTCTTTGTGTCCTTAGGAATTGAGGTGAAATCTAGCACAAGACGGAAGTTTACCAATGATGAGAGAATTCACAGAAACCCCTAGCTATTCAAGGAAGACTTTCTTGCTTTCAAAATAAAACTATCTTTGTGTTCCATGTGTCCTTCAGTGTGAAAGGAGCAGAAGAAATTAAATACGAGGACTCAGAAAACATTTTCCTTAGAGTGAGTAATCTCCAAAACAGCTGATGAGTCCATTCTTTGTAAGTGAACACTGGAGAGAAAGAATGCAAATGTAGATGCTGTGTGAAAGCACATTAAAAAAAAAAAAAACAAAAAACAAAACAAAACTGGAGGAGGGTCACCTGGGTGGCTCAGTCAGTTGAATGTTCTACTTTGGCTCAGGTCATGATCTTAGGGTTCGTGAGTTCAAGCCCTGAATCGGGCTTTGTGCTGATAGTTTAGAGCCTGCTTCGGATCCAATCTCACCCTCTCTCTGCCTCTCCTCACCCTCTCAAAAATGAATAAACGTTTAAAAAATGCTGGAGAAAAAACCAGCATGAATTCCTTGAGGAAGACACTGTTGCTGCCTGGCACATTCCCTCTGAACAGGTTGAAATTAGAGAGCTGAGTGTAGGAGACTTGATTCCAGAACAGATGCCTTAGATCATACCATTGGTACCAGTTTCTGGGCATCCTCTAGGTGCCAGGCATGAGCCAGGAAGATGCTGGTGCCGAAGTCAAGTTCAGATGACTCCATCTCACTGTGTGGGAAGGGTGAACACACAGACACCTATTGTCACTGCTGCGTGCAGATGTGGAATTTGTTTAAGCTGATTATGGGTTGGAGGGAAGGGCCAAGGGTGGAAAAAATTAGGAAAGAATACTCGATATTTAGGCTTCCAGTTTCATGTTGGGTTCATGCCTCTCCCTCAAGCTTCTATTGGTTTTATGCACAGTCTAAGTATGTCCTAGTTTTTCACCTTGTGTTACTAAGGTAAGTAAGGTCACTAAGGTAAAATAAGTTACTGGATACACTGAGTAATTAAAGTCCAACTCTTTCAATGTAGTTTTACCCATTCTCTGACGAGGATTTTCTGTGAGAATGTAGCTTTGTCTTTTAAGTGCAGTATTATCTTATCGAGTATTGGTAGCCATGTATGAAGCTTAAAGGAATAATTATATTACAGTTGAAAATTTATAAGCCCTGTGAGAAGCCTTCTATGAGAATGCAATGGTGCTTTTCTTCAATACCATATTCCAGAAAAAGCTGATGAGGCTATTTGAAATTTTCTTATGGGATCTCTTTGAAGATGTCGTAGAGTTCTCTGTGTGGGAGAAAAGACTTAAATACAATCTTGGAGGAGACAAGTCGCAAGTTATTAATGATAATTGGAATGCTTCAAGGACATCTCTAGTACTTGAGGTTTGTTTCATGTAGAGTAATCCTGTTTTCCCAAAGTAAGTCCCTAGTCTCACTTTCAGACCTACAATCTCTGGAAAAATCAGATGTTAGTTCTTGTGTCAGTTGACATGTATTATAGACAGAAACGGCAGGTGTCTGACAAGCTAGATTTGGCAAAGATGGGGCCACAATAGAGCAGGATTGGACCAGGAGTAAAGAGATGGCAGGGAAAGGGTCAGCAGGGAAATGAGTCGCCATTACTTTAACTGTGAATTGCTTTGTACTCGGCAGAGCTAATGGGCCTATTCATTGTTGTAAACGGAGACACTTATGGAGATATAGATTCCTGGCTGAGATTTCCTGTGGAAGCCAGGAAAGAATTCTAAGTGGTATCAGAAAATCTATGAAGAGAGGCCCTGGAGTGGCTCAGCCAGTTGAGCATCCGATTCTTGATTTCGGCTCAGGTCATGATGACATGTTCCTGTGATGGAGCCCTGAGTTGGGTTCTGTGCTGATGGTGGGGGGCCGGCTTGGGATTTGCTCTCTCTCTCTCTCTCTCTGCCCCTCCCCTGCTCTTACACACACACACACACACACACACACACACACACACACACCACCCTCTCTCTCTCAAAATAAATAAACAAACCTTTAAAAAGAATCTGTGAATAATTCCTGCTGAGCAAGCAGAAGCTTGGAACAGGAATCCTGGGTTCTTTTTTACTTTTCTTGTAAGTTATTTCTCATCATTATGTCAGGTGATCCAACATTAGAGCTACACCTCTTCTGTTCCTTTTTCCTTTGTGCCTGTTTGGAATTCTGTGCAACATGCAGCAGCAGTAAAGGCACCTGGGAACTGTTGGCCACAGTGGAGAATATGCATTAACCACGCGAATACTACTTCAGAGCCCATTAAAATTCAGAATGTCTCAAACTTGCTTAAGAAAACAAGAGAAGCTATTTAGGGCAAAATAGCATGTTTTAAGATTAAAAAATATCTTTTCAGAGAAGGTGGTTGCAAACTTGAGAGAAAGCTGGCTGAACTGTGTCAAATTCGTTTTGTGCAAGGGAAGCAGTGTTGACGGGCCCGAGGCAGGAACCCTGTGAGTAAAGGAAATTTAGGGAGACTGCTAAAGTATTAAGCATTCCCAGCATTTCCCAGGCGAGGGACAATCGCAGACACAGGGCTGTGCCCTCCATCCAGACATTTCTATTGCAGGAATACTTTGGCCCAGCTTTCTTCACCAGGTGTTGGATCCTAAAATAGGACTGTTGTCATTAGTGTCATCACTGATTTTGACAGGTTCTAAAATATATTTTGTCATGTAAGAGTTGCCTCTGAGATGAAATATATTTGAATACAGATTTTGAGTGTAATCAAGCCTCCTTTGATATAGAATCATAGACCAGTGGGATAGTTCTGTTTATTATTTTTCCATAATGACAGAATAAGCCTGACATATATTATTAAAGGCAGTAACATGCATTTGCCACTAATGCTTTCATTTGTTTAGTATGTGGCTTAAAAACGCGGCTTTGCCCTTTTTAGGCTATTTTTTTTTAGACTATTCATGTACGTTTCAGGAACCCATTGTTCTAAGGGTCATTTTTACTCACTATAATAGACAGCATCAAATAAAATGTCCCTAATGAGTTTCCAAATGATTCTTTTCTGTGTAAATAGTGGTTCTTGAATATTGGTCTATTCTTCTTTTTTTAATGTTTTATTTATTTCTGAGAGAGAGAGAGAGAGAGAGAGAGAGAGGCAGCATGAACAGGGGAGGGTCAGAGAAAGAGGGAGACACAGAATCTGAAACAGGCTCTAAGCTCTGAGCTATCAGCACAGAGCCCGACGCGAGGCTCGAACCCATGAACTGTGAGATCATGACCTGAGCCGAAGTCAGACGCTTAACCGACTGAGCCACCCAGGCGCCCCTATTGATCTGTTATTCTTATTTCTTTCAATTATTCACAAAATGTTTACTGAGTACATCATTGAGAGCTCACAGCCTGGGAAGGGAAACAGCTAAATAAACAAATAAATAAACACACAAAATACATTTGTGTCCTTTTCTCCTGTTAATCTGTGTTTATTGGTTTTATTTTCAGTCCCAGCCAGAGACCCTGAGAGTGTTGAGGAAAACCTTTTCCTCCACTGCACTGTTTTTATTTTCTTTATGGGGGAGGGCATACTAAAAATCTCTTCTGAAAATGCACGCACCTGAAAATGGAAGGATTTCCGCTTTTCAAGCTAATCTTCGGAAGGATAGGGTTAAGAATAACGATGCTTAAAGAAGAAATTCTCATTCTTGAAAATATTAGGGAGGTAGTTACATTTCGAATTTAAGTTTAATCTCTAAAAATCACAATTTTTGTTAAAAGGAAAATATTAGTCTCCCATAGAGTTTCTGACAGCATCAGTGGTTAAATGGTGATTGGTTCACAAGAGAGGACATGAGACAAAAAGAGAATATTCTGAGTATGTCAAAAACACTTCAAAGTCTGGATATTCCAGATTAGAAGAGGAAGAGAATGAAGGATCCTTATTTCTTTATCACTAAATTCCTACACAGAGGGCTGCTTGATCCTTTTCTTCTGAAATTCCATTTCATTGTCTGTTTTGATTTTTCTTTTTATTTAGGAGTCTGCTCATGGTGATGCTTTGAGGACAGAGGATTCAGAGGAAGTTTTCCTTCATTCAGTTTCAGTTTTAGAAATCCCCTTGCACCTGGAGGTGGTGGTCTGTGAAAAGCCACTGCCCTAAGCCCATTCTCAAGGGTTTCTTCTGGAGTCCCCACACCTGGGCAGGCTCCCCTTTTTAGAATGGGGTCATACATGCTTCAGGTTTTTTTTTAAATAACAATATTCTTTTGTTTTAAACATTTATTTATTTTTGAGAGACAAAGAGTGAGCAGAAGATGGCAGAAAGAGAGGGAGTCACAGAACCCAAAGCAGGCTCCAGGCTCTGAGCTGTCAGCCCAGAGCCCGACGCAGGGCTCAAACTTATGAACCGTGAGATCATGACCTGAGCTAAAGTTGGCCGCCTAACCAACTGAACCACCCAGGTGCCCCTACATGCTTCAGTTTTGAGCCCTTGGATATACTCACTATAAATCTATTGTAAAATAGTGTTTACTATCCCGGGGAAATCAGGAGTACATTTTTTTTTCAGGCAGACATAATTATAAGTATTGTTTCCATAGGATGTTATGCTAAAAGATCCCTAAAGAGGAATAAGAAACCCAAGGAGATTTAATAGTTTCTTTTGAGAGACCAGACTTATATACTCAAAAAAGGCAATTCCTTCTGTGCCTTTTTGTGTCAGTTGGCGGCTGTATCCTAATTTGGGAAAAAAATTCAAAAGAAAAAAAATAACAATTCTTAATGGTTTTCAAGCCTGAGTTGTGGCTTCACTGAGAAGACATTGAAGGTCAATGCTGCCAGAGTAAAGTGATTCCACAGAACTAGAAACTCTCTCTGACCTTTCACTGGATCCATTAATAATGGAATAATTTTACAGCTTATATGAGTGGCTTTCTCAGAATTCACATTAAAGTAGTTACAAAAAGCCAACCAGTAAGAGGCTTTAACTATGCTATTTGAATTACAAAGCCTATTCTAAATTCATTCATTATCATTCTCTTCGAGTCTTGTGTGGGAATTAGTGGAACACTCCTGTCCTTCCAGAAGGTCCAGTTTAAGTAAGCTCTATGT